CCCGGGCTGCTGGCCACAGCCCGCGTGCAGTGCGAAAAGGGCTCGGGTTGCTCCCGGCCCGCACAGTCGGGTTCGTTTCACCCGCCGGGTTGGGGCCGGCGAGGGACACAGTATCGAGGGGCCTGAACAGGACCCGCTCATCTCTCATTATACACCCGAACGCCGCGGGGAGCAAATACACTTCCCTCTCTCTCGGGGCTCTGTCTTCGGAGACTCCCTCTTCTCCCTTTAGCGACAGGCATCCGCTGACAAAACTTTCACCCATTCCGCCCGCCTGGTGGTAAGCGATATGCGCCTCCAGTTCCTCAAAGCTTTTCACTTGGCATTGGTTATCGTGCCAAGGGCAGTTCTTAACCAATTCTAGCTCTAACGTGTCCTTTCCTGATCCCATCCTCGTCGCCATGTGCGGGCCCTCTCCCGATCCCACCTGGGTTGCCATGTGCGAGTTCTCTCCCGATCCCATCCTCGTCGCCATGTCTTGGACAGCAAGAGCCGACTCGAGGTGATCCAATAATTACTCGTTCGTTGGGCGGGCTGGTGAATAGAAAGGCAGACAAAGCTTAATGGTTGCAAAACTTTACTTATGCCGCTTGTAGCTGCGACGCAGACGGTCCGGTCGTCTGAACAACTATGTTAGTTGTTCCAGCTGGCAGGGCTCAAGCTAACTCGTCCATCCACAAATCACGCCAGCGGGGAAAGGGTACATCGGGGATTGCGCTCGGCAACGGGGAGAAGAATCGATAGGTGATCAGTCTATCGATCAGCTCAGCCACAAGTCAGATCTCTTTAGAGGCACTCTGCAGTGTGCTCAAAGTTCTCCGACTTGGGCGGGAGTCGCACAAAATTTTAAATGGCTAGCAAGCCAATTACTAGCCGCCACATAGGAATAATTTAGAACTGGCCAATAGCAGGACAAAAATTTGCATTCAAATGGCGGGAACTCTCTTGCACCGGGGTTTTTCTGTTGCAACAAAACCTTCGCTGTGCAATTGGCTCTCATGTGGCGGGAAAATTCCATCGTGCCGAGGCACCAAAATCACTGGGTTGTGACAGTGACCACGGACCAAGAAGATTGGCTTCCATCAACCACCACCCACTGGGTCCTACCACGGAGCCAATTTCCCAGCCAGAGGATCATGGTGAGGATGAGACCACAGTTAGCCAGTTTAGCTAAGAGGTGATCGTAGGATACCAGATGGAAGGTTTTTTTAAAGTCAAGATATACAATGTCAATCTCTTCCCCCTTCTCCAGGTGATAGGTCACCTGGTCTTAAACCTTCCTGCATTGGGACAAGAAAACAGGAGAGAGATCTAGCGGAGAGAATACACACTCCAAGATCTGGTCTTCTGTTGGCAGAATACTTCAGTTCTTAACAACAAACAAGTTTGAGTAACCCACATATTCTTGAAAGGAACATTGTCCAAATAATGATATTGAGATTCAAGTCTTTTCCCACCCACAGATAATACTAATATTTGGCATTTATCCTGTTCAGCAAATTAATTTCCCAGTTCCCTCATTCCCTAGGAAGAATATCTAGTTAGAAAGTAGCAAATGTTATTGTCAACATTTAAATGAAGTGTATCCCTAGTTTTTGACAGAAGTAAAGTTTAAAACATTTTTTTTTGTCTGAATTAGATATATGGTTAACTTTCTATAAATGTATGCCTGTAGTTAGTCATCTTTCTTTGTGTGAATACCTGCAGATGTCAGTGGGTGTCTTATATGAACAATGATGGGAAAATATATTCAGGGATTATATTTTCTCCGCCCAACTTTATATGGGCCTTCATTTTCATGTCCACAAATGGTATGTTCCTGCAATTATTTCTGTCTTCATTACAGGTAACTTAAACATCTAATTACCTTACTTAAAAGCACAATAAGTATTTAAATGCCCTGACACTTTGACTGTTGGAAGAAAAAAACCACACACATAGAAAAATAGAAGCGATCTTCTAATATTTGGTTCTTAATAAAAAATCCAAAGTATGATTTATATTGGTTGCTTTTTATTATGCATTTACAAGCTAAATCAAAATGACTAAATAGAATAATTTAATTTGATTAAACAATAACTGACTGAATTCCATTTTCTTCTAAAAAAAAAACAAGTTGTGGATTTTACGAATTTTTGTTAAGCTACAGGCAAAAACTGCTTTGCTGTAAATATGCTAGTCAAAGCTCACTCATGGGACATACATTTATAATACTGCTGATCTTGCATTCTTAATGGGTCATAATTCAATGTGATAGCTATGATTTTTGACATTATGGGATCTAGTTCAGATCATAAATGGTATACAAATCAACCAATATGGATTAGATGTTACTATGGTCCATAACTGCTAAATGAGGGTCATGATTTCTCACTAGCTAATAGACACTCACACACTAAATTATTTCATGGAACTCAGTACAAGCTATCTATCATAAGTGTGATATTTTTATATCACTTAAAAGAAAGGCAAATGAAAATGCATCAGTTCTGGCCACCCTGCCAATCCTGTATAGCTTTATCAATAGCAGAATGGATGCTTCCTACTAGGATTTGGTGGGCTCCCTAGACAGATTTTTGAACTTGTGTACAAAGCAAATTGTATTAAGTGAGTATTAAAACATGAATGGTGTATCATTCTCTCATTTAGCTGGCAGTATGTCAGGAATCTTAAGTGATTCATCACACTTTTAGACCATAATATCAGTCATTTTCATAATTATTCTTTAGAATTTCCCTTGGTCTCTTCCCTAATTAATTCCCCTCTCCCTACCTACCTCTCCACTCTGTTTACTAATATAATACTCATTGTCTCTAAGGCTTGGTTTAGAAGGTAGTGAGGAATCCTTTTCCTTTTGTAGCATTTCCCACTAAATGCTATTTTCTGTAATCTATTTTTTTAATAAAAAGGAAAATGAAGAGGTAACGGTAAAAAAAATTAAATAAAAAAATTGTTACCCACTTTCCTTAAGCTAACTTCTAATTCCAATAGTACTGTCAGTGTGTGATCCTAAGTATATTGTGAACATACACAACATTGAATTTGGCAGCTTAATTTTAAAATGTACATTGAATAAATCCTAGTTATTACTTATTAGGTATGTACAATAGAGCATCACCTTATCCCTTAAAATGAATTTTGAATTTTAAATTCACCTGCTCTTCTTGCTGCTGTATTTGGTTAATCCATGTTAAGTCAAATTACTCCAACAGGTTCTGCTGAGACAACTGGAAGTGAATGGCTTGTTGAAATTCCTGCACAAAATTGAGGAAGAAAATCTAAAATTCAGCTCTCCCAGCTCAGCAATTGGCCACAGTGCCCCCCCCCCCAACCCAGGAGGCACCAGTCACTGAGCCGGTGAGGGCACGGAGGGGCCACCCCTGTATGCTCCTCAGCAGACCCAGAAGTGGACTGGAAGTGCTTTTGGTCCACTTCTGGGTCCTCTGCTGAGCACGCTGGGGAGCCCCTGTGCTTCTGTGGGACACTCCATGCACCCCCAGCATTGCAGCACTCATGAGCCCCTGCTACCTAGAGATATGTAGAAAAATCATTTAAAGCTGCCTCTATGTCAGAATCTCTGAATCTTTCTGAATCTCTCCGAATTGATTCAGAGGGTTCCAATTTGATTCAGAGAGATTAAAGGGTCCTCTGATTCGATTCAGTGGCTGAATCTCGAAATCTGAATTGGGCCAAATCTCCACCGAATCAAATAAGGGACCGAAGCTTTGTACAGCCCTATTAGACAGGAGTTAAATAACAAGGAGAAGGAGCTAAATCTGCCCTTTTTCACTTGGCTGGTAGGCCAAAGATAAGCCCTTTCCTTTCCTCATGATGTTCATCCACTTGCCTTCTAATTGGCACTAAGCACCAAGGCCAAGGTCAATTATTTAGGTAACCCATGGCTAAATAACTAAATTGATCTCTCTTTTGCCTACTAATTCTCTATACCTCCCTTGTTGCCATGCACGTCTCTGCATCCATGGCTACGTTTTTTGTGGGTGCTCTGCTGCCCCTTCAACTACTGTTAGCCTCCCTCTAGCTTTCCTGATATGGGGTCCAGCAGGTGTTATGCTTGCTCTCAGCATGTCGGTGGGATGGGCGTTGCCCCACTTAGACTGAGAATTTTGCTGTGGGATCTTTCATGCTTTAGCTTCAGCCAGAATTTCAAACAGTTTATCAGTTGTAGGGTGACATCCCATGATCTTACAGGATGCCTGGTTTTGAAATTGTCAGTGGTGCCTCATGGTGGACACATGCCATGAGGAGGCAGATAGGTATCTAATTTCATTTGAGGATTTGGGCCACAATACACAAATCATTTTTAAAAGTATGACTTAAAGCACTTCTGAACACTTTATGCTGGGGTCATATCATCCTTTTTGTAGCTCCAGGGACCCACTATTGTGACTAGTAAAGAATCTTCCTTTACTGAAAAAAGGCAAAGATAAGATGAAAATATTACAAAGCAATACATATTTGCACTATACATTTGTCACTGCAGTTCCATTACTGGGTCCTGATATTAATAAAACACTGGGGGTTTGCCAAAACCCCCTGATGGAATGACAAAATTCTGTGTATTGTTATTGGGCAAAATCAATAAAAACATGAAAGAGAAAGTAAGTCATTCCATAACACTGTGGGAGTCCCTGCTGCTATAGATGTGTGTAGGCACCCACTAGCAGTGATGGAAGTTACAAGTGTGCATCAACAGGAAAAATAAATCCCCTCTACATTTATAGATTTGTAAACATTATGGAAATGTGAGAATGATTTTTCTTTCCATTGAAAACTCAGGTTTTATCACATTTGATTGCTCTCAAATGAATTTGATACCCAGTTAAATATTGGTCTACTGAGAAAATATTTATAATGCTGAGCTGAGGAATGCTTTCCTGTTCTGAAAAAACATGTTAAAATGAGCACTGCAGTGAACTGGTCAGAGAAGAGACTGCTGGTTCTATTTAGCTACTGCAGCTGTTGCTGCACCAAAGCAGTCACTGAAAGCAGCACCAAGTGTCAGATACAGAGAGCAGCTTGGAAGAAGTGCCTGGCAAGGTTGGCTTTTTATCTGTACTATTTCTGTAAATCATGTCACAAATAGAGCTCAGGCTAGGAAAGAGGGTTCAGAAGGGAGGGTGTTATTATCATAGTATTATTTTAAATAAATCCTTTTTTTTCTTCTGGTGGATCACAGTTTGTTAAGTCAGGGGAAAGATATCTCTTTTTTTACAAAATAGTACATAAATATACTTATGAACCAAATGTAAGATAATAATAAAGGTGGTCATTGGAGATGGTATTTACAGGGATGGAATACAGCTACAAAAGACTATAATTTCAGTTGTCAACTTAAAATACACACTGTGAGCATGTTTTAAACTGACAGTACATCAAACTTACTTGCTTTGGGATTTTATTTTCTTTTAAGGCAAAAGAAAGCTGACTTACTGGATAAGTTTTTCCAGTCCTACACAGCTCTTGTTAAAATATTGATGTAAATGTTTTTCTGCCCACTCTCCCTCCTCGCATACGTGTGGTACAGAGGTCAACATGCAGAAGACGCACAGAGTTATTTCAGCTGCTCTCACTACCTTACATGCTCTGCTAAGCATATCAACAATTTGGCCAGTGCCGTCACATATTCAAGAATAGGGTGGAAACCCCCTCCAGGATTTCTAAAGTTATTTTCTCTTGAGGCTGTAAAACTCAAATGCCCAAGATAAATAAACTTCTTTTGAGTTTGTCATCCTGGTACTTAGAGGTGTTTAAAACTGTTTCAAGATGCAGATGCATTTCATTCTTGATTCTAGAGCCCACCTTACATAATGCACATAGTAAAAGAATGGAGAGTTTAATTAAAAAACAGCAACATTCCATGTACATGTGTTTATACTGGGATTTTTCAGGGGTGTGGGGGTGACAACATATCACCATTCACGAGCTAGTTTCTGAAGCCTTTTTTTGGACTTGGATTGGATGGATTCATTTGAAGTTTAATAAGTTTGCCAAGAAGACCTGTAGCTGGTCTGTATATGATTCCCTGCTATTTTTAATATAAATGTAATATTTTAAATCTATCTCTTGTGTCCTAAACCAGATTGTGTCTTAAACAGCTGCGTTTAAATTGTAAAAATTCACCCTTGTGTCTGGTTTCACATCTGGTAACACCCAACTAAAGTAATTAAATGAGGTTTCAAAAAAGCCACAATATTATATATATATAAATTATTACAGTAGAATTTGACTTCCAACTAGATTCAGTAAAGATTTTATAAGTAGCTGGGCACTTTGGTTATTTCTAAAGGTGTTGATCAAAATACATAATGTTGAAAGTAAAGGCGGGCTTGTAAATGGATGGAGATTGGATAACATTAAGTTACCATAATTACTATTCATCAGTATGTCTCCACTTTGATGTCAACTATGTGCTTTCTTTTTTGTCTCAGAGAGGAAGAAACTTCAAAAGCTTTAATTTCAAGACAATAAAGGTCTCACGTTGATATGTGTACAAGCTTTGACTGCAACTGGAAAAAAGTTATAGCATGGTAAGATATAAAGGAAGGTGAAATGGTGCTAAATGTTCTTGTGAGTGACATATACATTGTACACATGCATGTTATATATTACTACATGTATTGCTATGTTTGATAAGTAAGTACCTATAGTATATGTATATTGTGAAAAGATTAAATCTGTCACGTTTCCACATTTCTACTAAAGATATTTATATATACATTTGTGTTTGATATAAAATAATTTAAATCCATTGCAATGTATTACAATTTTAATATATATTAACAATTATGTTAACACACAAGATATATCATTACAAATGTGTATCAACACAGTGAGGACTAAGTCATAAAGTAATGTAATTTGTAGTCATATACCCTTCAAGTCAGTAGACTTGAATAGTTTTCACAGGTGCAGGTAAAGGAAGAAGTAGTGAAATGTATGTACTTATTTCCAATTTGAATTTATTTTGCCGTAAAAATTGCTACTAGAATGAAAACCTTCTGGCTAAATGTGAATACCACTGCTCAGTTTCAAGGCCCCAGTCATTTGACATTAATGAGAGTCTTTATAATGATTTCAACAAGCTTTAGCTCTAGCTTCAAAAGATGATAAAAATTCAACTTAATTTCAAAGATTAAATAGCACATTATTGTTAGGAGTTGGGAGGGCATGAGGACCTTTAGAAATAATACACCTTTAGAAATAATACATTGAGGAAAGAATGGAAAAAAGATACAGAAATGAATAATTTGTGTAGAGCTCTAAAAATAATTTGTTTGGTGCTTTAGTTTTTCAAAGTGAAAATTAGAAAAAAATCATTTTACATTGAATGAAATTATTATTTTGTTGTTGTTTTTCCTTGCCACCCCAAAGAAACAAAAATGAAATGTTGACATATCAAGTGTTCCAACTCTACTGAACATCACATACAACATAATTTTTAAAAAATCTAGATATTATCCTAATTAGTACCCTCTGGGTAAGATAGTTACATATTATCAACTTTTCAGGGCTGATCTTATAAAATGCTGAATACTGACCAGCGCCCTGCTCAAGACATAATCATCCCTGATTAAAAATCATCCCAGCAAAGTGTCTGTCTAACCTGCTCTTGAAAACTTCCAAGGATGCAGATTCCACAGTTTCTCAAGGTGGCGTGTTCCAATCCTTGACTACCCTCACAATCATCGTAATCTTTAACCTAAATTTCCCACGCTGAAGTTTAAAGCCATTTCTCCTAGTTCTATCCCCTAAAGCCACAGAGACAAGCCCATCTCCATTCTCTCTATAATCACCCTTCACGTATTTGAAGATTGTTATCAAATCCCTCTTCAGTTTTCTCTTCTCAAGACTAAATGACCCCACTTCTTTCAGCCTTTCCTCCTATGCCTTGCTTCTAAGTCCCCTAATAATGTTTGTTGCTTTGTGCTGGACTTTTTCTAAACAGTCCACATCCTTCTTGAAGTGCGGGGCCCAAAACTGGACACAGCATTCCAGGCAAGGCTTCACTGTGCTGAAGAGTGGAAGAATCACTTTTCTTGATTTGCAAGTGACATTCCTTTTAATACAACCAAATATGCTGCTGGCCTTTTTTTTTTTGCAACAAGAGCACATTGCTGGTGCATATTTATATTATGGTTTACTGTATTCCCAGATCCTTCCCTACAGTACTGCAGCCTAACCAATCATTCCCCAATCTGTATTTGTGCATGCAGTTATTCCATCCCAAGTGCAGGACATTTCACTTTTCCTTGTTGAATCTCATTTGATTGGTTACAGACCATTTCTCTAGTCTATGCATGTAATTCTGAATCCCAGCCTATCCTCCGGTGTATCTGCAGCTCCACCCAACATGGTTGTCACATGTTGTTTGCTTTATGTCAGAGGGACCATGAACTGCTTCATTTGGGCAATACTGTAAATGTTACAAGAAAAAAAGCTCTGAAACTGGGATGATGCCATTTGATTGCAGCTATGACTAGCCAGAGTACCCTGTGCATCTTTATTTTATTTTTATATGCACAGCAGAGGAAAAACAGATTATTTTGGATATGGGTAATGATAAAAAACTCTTGTTAAAATCAAGTCCAAAAATAATTTTTCCTTTAGATTCTTAAATATGGATATATGTTTACCTAGCTCTTGACTTTATAGCTTGCATCCACAATTTTTGCTTTAGCAAAAATGAGCTAAAAGATGACTCTGAAGCTTCTAGTATTATATTACATATAGGCTGTTTGCAGATATTAAAAAACCCCAAAACCATGCTTTACCAGAAGCAGCAGCGTGGTACTTCAACCCAGCTCTGAAGCTTCTGTATAGATTGGGTATGTCAGTGGGGCTTTTTGGCGCTTTTATCTAAAGCTGATTCAATCAACTATCAGATAAAAGCACCAACCCCCCACCCCACACTAAAGTACCTGGTCTATACAGATGTTAGTAGAGCTGGGTCAAACTAACACACTGCCTCTTTTGGTCATGCGCTGGGCTTGACCCAGGAGTGCTCCAAGTTTGCCGTGCTGTTTTGGGGTTTTTTTAACATCTGCAAGTAGCCGCAATTATGTGATTACTGAACTGAGCTTCCCTAAAGCTATTTGCGAAAAAAGACTGTATTTTAAAGTACTTTGTTAGGATTGATTCAATACTCTGATTTCTCATTTAAATAAAGCATGTGTTGAAGTTTGTTGTCTGATTAAGGAATGTGAGATCAGGCCCTATGCATTGAAGTCAATGGGAGTTTTGCTTGAAGAAGGATTGAGTAAGGACTGCATGATTTGGCCCGGAATATCTGAAGTCTATTATTTACATTTGGGTTGCAGGAAATACATTTTACTATTAAAATCCCAAAGTTTCAATAAGAGTAAGAGGTAACACTATCTTATTGTGGGAACCAAATAGATCAAAACTTTTTCAGAAGTTCCTTAACTGTGGCTTAGTTTTGTGCCAGCTGTTGTTTTAATACTATAAACGGAAGAAAACAACACTTGGGTGGACATTTAATTCGGTCTCTGCAATAGCAAACATTAACCACTGGCCTACTATTGGACCACCTGCAATGTGTTAGTCATTAGAAAGGTCGCTGTTACTGAACATTTTAAACTGTGAATAGCTTCAGATTAAATTAGGTGTAAAAAAAGTCATTTCCTCTCAGTGATAAACTAAAACACCTGCAACACAGCTCAAGTTTACCATGAGAGATCTAAACTATTGCTCTGAAGCTATACCATTCAAGAATGCACAAAAGCTGAGTTTTGTTGGATAAGAATATATTGATCTTGATTATTATGTAGTTGCCAGGTACACAGCTAGCTAGTTAGAATTTAGGTTATATTATGCTCTAGTAAATACAAAGTTTAAATTTTAATTGTGTGTGTATTAATTATATTTCCTCTCATGTTTCTCATTAATCTTCCTATCTTTAAAAAAAAAAAATTGTGATTATTTGGCTGCATCCGCTCTTCATTATAATAAGAAATCCAGCACCTTCAATATGAAGGGAAGATGCATCTATTTCAGATGTTTCTACCACAAATATTTATTGGACCACTAGAAAAAAAAAATTACTTAAGTTGCATGTTGCACTGCTTCCCTGGATGCAAAGCTGCTCTATTAAGCCTCTGGTTGCAACTCTTAGGGTACATGTAGATGTTGCATTTAGATCAATCAAACTAGGGTACATATATTTGGAGAGTTTAGACTGGGCAAAAAGAGGCGGGCCTGATGTAACTTAGTTCACCTAAGGAGGTGCACTACATAGATTGGCCTAACTCATGCCCAATCTAACCTAATATGTATATATGTTCAGAGTGCAGCTCCAGGGCTGGGAAATCCCAGCCACTTGCTGCTTTTCCTATCCCCCACCACCCTAACTGAGCTATTTTTAGCCCTCCAACTCACCAAGCCCTGGACAGACAACCCCACCATGTGGATCCACCAACTTCCCATGTGAACTCACCAGCCCCCTGTCAATCCAGTACTGTTTAATATTTCATCAGCGATTTGGACGAAGGTGTTGAAGGCACCTTGCACAAATTCACAAATGATTTTAAACTATGGGGTATAGTAAACACACTGGAGGGCAGGGAGCAAATTCAGGTGGATTTGGATAGACTGGGGAAATGGGCAGATCAGAATAGGATGCAATTTAGCAAGGATAAATGCAAGGTGCTGCACCTGGGGAGAAAGAATCTCCAACACACCTATAGACTGGGGGGTACCATTCTGAATACCACACCAATGGAAAGAGCTCTAGAGTCTTGGTTAATGCAAAAATGAACATGAGTCACCAGTGTGACAAGATAATAAGCACGGCTAACTGCACTCTTTCTTGCATCAGCAGATGCATCACAAGCAGGTCTAGGGAAGTGATAATTCCCCTCTGTGCAGCATTGGTGAGACCGCAGATGGAGTACCACGTCCAATTTTGGGTGCCTCACTTCAAGATGGATGTGGATAACCTTGAAAGGGTTCAGAGGAGGGCTACTCATGTGGTTGAAGGCCTGCAGGTAAGAACCTATGAAGACAGACTGAGGGTCCAGAATCTCTTCCACCTCTGCAAGAGAAGGCTGAGAGGTGATCTTGTGGCTGCCTTCAAACTCATCTTGTCAGCAGGGAATAGGGGACACTTTGTTTACCAGGGAGCCCCTCAGGGATTACCAGAAATAATGGCCATAAACTGAAGGAGAAGAGATTTAGATTGGACATAAGGAAGACATTATTTATGGTAAGGGTTGCTAAAATATGGAATGGGCTTCCAAGGGAGGTGGTGCTTTTCCCTACCTTGGAGGTGTTCAAGAAAAGATCAGACAGGCATCTGGCTGGAGTTAATTAACCCCAG